GTTATATTCTCTTTCTCTCTTTTTTTATAGTAGTCATCTCTTTTTTAAATAGTAGTACTTCTTATGAGTTTGAGGTGGTGAGAAGACTCTTTTTGTCCCATTGAATTGTCTTGGCAGCCTTGTCAAAAATCAGTTCACTATCATAAAATAAGTAAGTCACAGGGATGAAAAGTATAAAACAGGGAATATACTCAATAATATTGTACACTTATCATGGCGATATGTGTACAATAGTATATGTAGTGATTGTTGAACCACTATGTTGTACACCTGAAATTAAATTAATATTATATATCAACAATACTTCAATTAAAATAAAAAAATTCAATTGACAATAAATGTGGAAGTATTTCCAGTCTCTGAATTTTATTCCTTTGTTCATATGTCAGTACCACACTCTCTTGATTACTGTGGCTCTGAAATAAGTTTTGAAATTGGAATATGTGTCTTCCAATTTGTTTTTTTTCCATGATTGCTTTTTGGTCATGCTCGAACCCTTGCATTTCTGTATGACTTTTAGGATTCGTTTGTCAATTTTTGCAAAAATGCCAGTAGGGATTTTGATAGGGATTACATGAAATCTGTGGATTAATTTAGGTAGTACTGCCATCTTAACAATATTAAGTCTTTTGATCCATGAACATGAGATATTTTTCCATTTATGTGGGCCTTCTTCCATGTCTTTCAACAGTGTTTTATAGTCTTCAGTGTACAGATTTTACACACTTGCTTCACTAAATTTATTCCTAAGTATTTTATTCTTCTTGATGCTGTTGTAAATGGAATTTTTAAAAAAAATTCATTTCTGGATTGTTCATTGGTAGTGAATAGAAATGCAGTTGATTTTATACATTTATCTTGTCTCTTGCAACCTTGCTGAACTTGTTTATTTTGATTTGTGTGTGTGCGTATGTGTGTGGGTTCCTCAGGATTTTCTATATGCAAGATCATGTCATCTGTGTACAGAGATAATTTTGCTTTTTCTTTCCAATCTGGATACCATTCATTTCTTTCTCTCGCCTAATTGCCCTGGCTGGACTGTCCAGTCCAATGTTGAACAGAATTGGCAAGAGTGGATTTCCTTGAATCATATTTTTAATGTTTATAGTGTTTTGGAAATATGTGTTACTGACAATGATCCTTTGAGAACTTGAAAATCCAGCTTTATGTCCTCTTTAGTAACAAAAGTAACAAAACTATTGGAATTTATGCATGCTGTTTATTTTTTGAACATTAATATGCACAATAGATTCTAGCTTGGCTTTTTCCAAAACTTTGATGCCTTTCCTCTGTTAGCTTTATGAGTTTGTTTTTTAAACGTCATGAAAGTAAGCCAACTGTGGGACTTCTAAAAACATGTCTCTAATGTAAATGTCCTCTTAAGGAATTGTGTGTACTGAGTATAGTTGAGTAAGAATAAATAATCAGGATGTTCATATTGTCTCAGCTAGTGCTTCCTAGTCTTAGTTTGGGCTAATGCTTTGTAGTTAGCACATTTGAAGTAAGTTTATAATTTGTAGTAGATAAAGTGGAAAACCGGAGATAATGCTAGTGGGTAAGTGAGGGAGAAGCAGTGATTATACTCCTTTTGATAATTTATTTATTTATTTTTCTTTTAATTAATTAATTAATTTAGTTTTATTTTTCTAATTTTATTATGTTATGTTAGTCACCATACAATACATCATTAGTTTTTTTTTTTTTAAAGATTTTATTTATTTATTTGAGAGAGAATGAGAGAGAGAGAGCACAAGAGGGGGAGAGTGGGAGAGGGAGAAGCAGACTCCCCACCGAGCAGGGAGCCCGACGCGGGACTCGATCCTGGGACTCCAGGATCATGACCTGAGCTGAAGGCAGTCGCTTAACCAACTGAGCCACCCAGGCGCCCCATCATTAGTTTTTGATGTGGTTTATTTCTACATCCAACTTCTGAAAGGTATATATTTTTTCCTTTTTTAGATTCAAGTGTAATTAGCATACAGTGTTATATTAGTTTCAGGTGTACAATATAATGATTCAGCAGTTCTATACATTTCTCAGTGCTCATCAAGATAAGTGTACTCTTAATCTCCTTTACCTGTTTCCCCCATTTCCCCACCTACCACCCCTCTGGTAACTGCCAGTTTGTTCTCTATATTTAAAAATGTTTTTTGTCTCTTTTTTTCTTTGTTTTGTTTCTTAAATTCCACACATGAGTGAAATCATATGGTATTTGTCTTTCTTTGACTGACTTATTTCACTTAGCATAATACCCTCTAGGTCTATCCATGTTATTGCAAATGGCAAGATCTCATTCTTTTTTATGGCTAATAACCCATAGTGTGTATATACTAGATCTTCTTTATACATTCATCTATCCATGGGCACTTGGGCTGCTTCCATGTCTTGGCTATTGTAAATAATGCTGCAGTAAAAATAGGGGTGCATGTATCTTTTTGAAGTAGTGTTTTTGTTTTCTTTGGGTAAATATGAAGGGTATATTTTCTGGCTCATATTTATTCTCTACAGAAAGAGGTGGAAGTAACTCCTCTGAACTTTATTCCTTATTGTAGATTTTTGTCAGTACTTAGAAATCCAATTCAGAGAGTAGAGTTTTCTCACATATTAGAGCCTTTCTTGAATATATTCTGTATGTCACACTTTGCCCCATTGGAAATATGAAATAAGTATAAGCATGTTTATTCTCTGGATGTTTGCAAGATATTTAGGAAGATCAAGTATGTGTACTTACCTTGTCCTGCTCCGTATTTGTGGTTCTGTGTTTATGTTCCTGTCTCCCTAACTAAATGTAAGTCCTCGAGGAGAACCATCTTTGTATCGATACAATGTGTATCACAGTGCCTCACGTACAGCATGTGTTTGTTATGAATTTTTGAAATTAATAGAACAGGAAAAACAATATAATACTACAACGAAATACTCAAGTGCATGGCATAGCCAATCAGTATTGTTGAATGTCAGAGGTAATGATGATCAGTGTGTACTGGATTTATTAGGAAAGTCTTCATGCAAAACAAGGTAATTAAGTGGACTCATCAAAGATAGGTAAGACCTGAGCAAGGGGAAAGGGTATTTCAAGTAGGTGTCCTAGTTTGGAGGCAGTGAGTGGATCATATCGACTAGAAGAGAAAGTTGGTATTGGCTTGTAGATAGAAGGGTGAACAAATAAGTAGGAACATCATATTTCAGAGGCCTTAAATGCTAGTTTGAAAGGTTTGCCCTTATTCCATTTGACATTAGCGAATCATGGCATTTTTTGAGCTAGAAAGTTTGGGGGCAAAGTTGTACTTTAAGAACATTTACTTGGTGATAGTACATATCATGGGCTGGAGGGAAACTTGTATCAGGAGACCATTTAAAAGGGTACAATAATAATTGAATTCTTCTAGTCTGTCAACTCTTAACAGAATTTTTTCTTTGCTCTTTAGTGGCTAGCATAGTGGCTAGTGCAGGGTTCAGTTTCTTTTTCCTTGGATGCATGAATGTATGAACTAGGTCATCTGGGCCTGGATAGAGCTGTTAGCAGTGGGAAGTACCCTTATGAGAAACATTTTGGTGGAAGAACTGAGATGACTTGTTTTCTAAGAGTATAAAGGATGTGAGTAAGGTCAAAGAGGACACTAAAGTCACAGCATGGGAGATTAAGGAATCCCTAGAAATAGGGAAATCAGCTAGAGGAAGAGAGGAGTGGGAAAAGGGACAGTCATGAGCATGTTTTTAGATTTGCTGAGTTTAACATTGAAATACATAGTATGTAGTTGGAGGAAGAAAGGCTCAGATGAGAACTGAAGTCTGAGTGTATCAATTTGGATATCACTATGAAGATACTGTTTGAGCAGGAAAAATGATTGGACTGATAGAATTGTTGTGCATGTGCACACGCGTACATACTGTTACACGCTAGAACCCAATATGTGTGTTTGTCGATATACTAAGCTGCTGGTTGGTATTAGCAGAATGATGAGTACTGGTTCTTGGGGAGAGCAGAGGGAAAAAAAAAGCCTAAGAAGGAGACAGGAAAGGAACAGCGGTGGAAGAACTTAACAACACAAATTTGCTAAGGAGACTTTGTAATTTGTCTTGTGTTTCAAGATGGTGTTAGTAATGACTAGTAGTACTCCCATATCACTTACTAAGTGCTTAGTGTGCCAGACACGTGATAGGCATGCTATCTTTATTTATCCTCACATCAAATCTGTGATATCACTACTATTAGATCCTCTTTTACTGATGAAGAAACTGAAGTCTAAAGAAGTTAAAATTTGCCCAAGATGAGTTGAGCTAATAAATAATTAGGATAATTGTGGATATAAACCTGACTTTTTTTTTTGACTCCAAACCAAATATTCTTTCCATTATACCAGAGGTTTGTATGTTTAATTTTTTAATTTCTTCAAGATAAGGTCTTTATCTTTAGAGAAATAGTTCCCAGTAAAGGTTTATTAATTAATGGGCAGTGATTGAACAGTCATATTTCCTATAGAAAAATCCACACGTACTTTGGATGTGGCTGCTTTTCTACGTGGGTATTTATATTTATAGTGTGGTAGGGAGATAAAACTTTTTTGATTGCATGTTGTTGATATTTATTTTGCTTTTAAAGATTTCATTTATTCATTTTAGAGAGAGAGAGCATGAAAGAAGGCAGACAGCAGAAGTGGAGGGAGAAGTGGAGGGGCAAAGAATACCAAGCAGACTCCACACCCAGTGTGGAGCCCTATGGGTGGGGGCTCAATCTCATGACCTTGAGGCCACGATCTGAGTCGAAATCAAGAGTCGGATGCTTAACCGACTGAGCCACGCAGGTGCTTCTGTGGATATTAATTTAAAAGATGGTATCAGTTCTTTCATTTGAGGAATTAATCATTCAGAGAGCACTTTTCAAATTTTTTTTGTTAAACTAATATAAACTTCTTTTAGAAGTGTTTCTGATGCATGCCTCAAAACATTCATAAATTAGCAAGGAAATAATAAGGGCCTGATGTTTTCTTTTCTTTCAGGGGATATCATTTTCAATGCCCAATACCCAGAGCTGCCCCCTGATTTCATCTTTGGAGAAGATGCTGAATTCTTGCCAGATCCCTCGGCTCTGCATGTGAGTACTGCACGCTCGTTTCGGATGATCTTTATTTGTTGAAGAAAAATAAAATTGGCTTTTGACAATTGCTTGACAGATAAGTTTGCCAAACATGTGGGGTTTTTTCCACCCCTTTTTTCTCTGTCCTCTGAAATCAGTATAGCTCTTCATGTGCCAAAACAGTTTAAAGAAAAGATTTTTTTTTTCAATTGCAGTTTTACTTTCAGACTATTTTGAATTAAAATCTCTAGCATATTGGTTAAAATATTTTTACTTTAGCTTAAAGAGACATGTTGAAGACATTTCTTTATTTTAATTTAATACATGCCTGCGATCATTTTTCTAATGTTTACTGACACTTCATCATAGAGTTTGTTAGGGGAGTGTTTTTTGGCTCTTGAAAAGAGGCCTTTTTTGTGTAGAAGTGGAAGTGGCAAATGTGGACTTGTGTCCATATTATCTCAGTATTATTATCAGAAGGTTAAAGACCAGATTAAGTTGTTCTTTATTAAGCAAAACCAAAAACTTTGTAGTTAAAGTAACATGTTTCTGGGGTTAAAGCGGGGAAAGGAGTGGTGGTACTCGTCAGAGCACATGTGGTTTACATAAAAAATTGTGTGTTTCACATTGCTGGTGGAGAAAAAACATGTGCCATGTTGTTTAAAAGGTCTGACCAGACAAAATGTCTCTTTATTTCCCTTCTCAAGTTCAATTTTGCTATGATGCCTATCCTATAGTTCAAAACTATGTTCTTTGTTTTGTTTTTTGGACATTGTTTTTTTGGTCTCAGAGTTTTGTAATTAAAAATTTTGATGACTTACTGGCAAATCTTGCCCCCCTCCCTTTTTAAAAAGGGAAGTGTTAAACAGGAAGTATCAACCCAAACCTAAAGAATGATCTTAAATTTCAGAACACAGCTGTAAAAATGCAATTGGCAAGAGTAGGATGGGTTTGTTGCAAAATTTCTAATAATTACGCTCAAACTGTTAGTTGATTTTTAAAAATTTATAGTTTAAGCATGGTTCCTTTAGATGCTGTGTGTTACATATTCACCCCATATTGAAGCTGAGGGGCTTACCTGGAGAAAATGAGGCGGAAATATCTCTACAGATCTCTTCTGTGGTAAAGATGTCAGTGGAGGGTAGCATTTGCTAAATGCCAAAGATGTGTTATAGGCTAAGTGCTCCAGGAATTTAAAGAAAGTTGTCAGAAAAGGCTCTGTTGTAGAGGTGAGACTTGGACTCCTTCTTGAAGAATGGAGCCCAAGTGGGGAGTATGGCAGAGAAAATTTCAAGGGGGGGGGAGTGACAGAAACAAATGAAATGTGTAATATATTACAGAAGAAGGTACTGACAAGTTTGCTGAAGTGTAAGTTAATATAAGGAAGGGCTAGGAAAGGTTAGAAAGGGAAATTGGACTAAGATTGTGAAGAACATTGAATTCTAGGTTAAGAGCCACAGAAAGAGATGATAATTGGAGAATCGTGTCACAGCAATGTGGTCAACATCATGGATTAAAGAAAGATTGAGGACCGGAATTGAGGACTGTTGCAAAAATCCGGGGGAGGGAGAAGGAAGGGGCTTTGAGCTAGGATGACACAAGAAGAGGAATACCATGAAGGAAAGGATAAGAAATGTATTTACAACTTCTTTTTTTTTTTTTTGGAATTGCCTTTAAAATTTGCAAGGCACGTTTTCAATGGTGATAAGTATTGTGAGAGCATAGAATTTAAAAGCCAAAAAAGGACTTTGAGGTTCAGCTTATTCCACTTTTCTATTTTAGTATTGAGAAAATTGACCTAGAATTATATAATTGTGCCAGAGTTGATGTTATAACTCTACTCTTCTGATATTTAGTCCCTGAGAGAAATTTCCGCAGATGTTTTTGGGATTAGCTGAAGAGGGACAGCCAAAAAACAAAAACAAAAAAAACACCAAAACACTGTATCTAAGAGAAAGATTACCAATCTAGGGGAATACTTTCTCTTTAGCTGTAGTCAGTCTGAGCACTCAGCTAGGCTACCTAGTACTTCTCTGTAGACCAGTGGTTTGGGCAAGCTTAGTAAAGCAACCAGGGTACACCCTCCACCAGCTGGTGAGGTCCTCCCAGCCCTAGAGGTGCCCTTGATGCTCATTGTCATCTGGCTAAAACATTAGGACAGGATACATGTCAGCAGACGTTTCTCTGAGCACAGCATGCCTCCGAAGGAGTTTTCCCTCAGCAGTTAACAGGCTATGGTTTAGTTCTTCAATTCAGTTCAGCCTTTTTTCTTTCCTTCCTGAAATGCACAGAGCACTTTCACTAATAACCTGATTAGTCCATTTTGGTTCTGAATGAAGGAGGGATTCCATGTTTCATCACCCATGGAGTAGAGAGCAGAATGTCTAGATTTTTTGGATTTCCCGCCTGAAGTACTAACTGCAGGAGGGAATGAATATGTACCCTTAGATTCTGGGAGCGTAGTTCGTAGTCCAAAGTAGTTGCTATGGCAAATATGGAATTTCTTTGACTCTTCTGGGTTTTATCTTAAAAATTAATAAAAATTATTTTGCATTTGGTTCTATAATATACCTGTGCTTTTTAATAAAAAGTATATCAAGTTATAAATATTTGAGAAAAAAATGTGTCAGTTTGAGAAATACAGTTTTTGAGAATATATGTGATCTTTTATTTATTCAATTTATTTAAACCAGCTTCTTTCTAGAAAAGGATTTGAAGTAACTTAAAGGATACGGGTTAACAAAAATACGTGAGGTGCTCTAATCCATCAGATGAGGCCACCTCTTCCTTTTTTTTTAATTTTTTTATTTTGAGAGAGAGAGAATGAGAGACAGAGAGCATGAGAGAGAGGAGGGTCAGAGGGAGAAGCACACTCCTTGCTGAGCAGGAAGCCCGATGTGGGACTCGATCCCGGGACTCCAGGATCATGACCTGAGCCGAAGGCAGTTGCTTAACCAACTGAGCCACCCAGGCGCCCCGAGGCCACCTCTTTCTAAACTCAAGCTCTTCATTCACAAAGATGAGTTTCATTAAGAACTTTAAGATCCTCAGATGAATAGAAAATACTAGGTGGAGATACCAGATCCAGATAAATACAAGATGGATACCAGAGATGGGTATATCATAGATACCGGAGAATCATAAAATCATTGAGTTATAATCATAGTTGTCCAGTGGTTCCCACTTCTGACTATTCATCAGAATAATTTAGGAAGCCTGTTAAAAATACAGATTCTTGGGGCACCTTCGTAGGGGCTTGGTCAGTTAAGCGTCTGCCTTCAGCTCAGGTCATGATCTCGGGATCCTGGGATCGAGCCCTGCATTGGGCTCTCTCCTCAGCAGGAAGTCTGCTTCTCCTTCTCCCTCTCTCTCTCAAATAAATAAATAAAATCTTAAAAAAAAAACCCCAAACCCCAGATTCTTGGATCCCACTGGAATCTGAATTAGACCTGTTATGGAGCTGAAGAGTCATTAAATTCTCTGGGCCATTTCTATGTATTAGTCTGTGAACTGATATTGAGAATCACTAATTGGGGCACATCTTCTTTATCCATTCATCTGTTGAAGGGCATCTCAGCTCCTTCTGCAGTTTGGCTGTTGTGGACATTGCTGCTATGAATGTTGGGGTGCATGTGCCCCTTCTTTTCACTACCTATGTATCTTTGTGAGCCCATCTTTTATAATAACATCTCCGACAGAAGGCCCACTTGTCTTTGCTTGACATTATTTCCGGTGAGGTATCATTTTTCCATTTTGGGGATGGCTCCATTATTTTTTTAAAATTAACAGCTTTATTGCGGCATAGTTTATATGCTGTTTAATCCACCCATTTGAAAGTGTATAATTCAGTGGTTTTTACTATATTCACAAAGTTGTGCAGCCATCATCGCCACAGTTAAATTTAAATTTTTTAAATTGAGGTATAATTGACATTTTAGCATTATATTACTTTCAAATACACAACATAATGATTTGGTATTTGTATATATTGTGAAATGATCACTACAGTGTCTAGTTAACATCTACCATCATCAGAGTCAAATTTAGAACATTAGCAGTCCCTGCCCCTTCCTCTCCACTCCTACCCATACCCACTCTAAGCAGTAACTATTCTACATTCTTCTCTGTATATTTGCCTGTTCTGGACATTTCATATAAGTGGAGTCATACCATATGTGGTCCTTTGTGACTGACCAATTTCATTACCATACAGTTTTCAATGTGTCATATATCACTCTTGTTTTTTATTGCAAATAATATTACATTTTATGCATAGACCACATTTTATTTATCCATTGTCAGTTGATGGACATTTGGGTTGTTTTCATGTTTTGGTGATTATAAATACTGTTGTTGTGTAGGCATGTTTTAATTTTTCTTACATATATCCCTGGGAATGGAATTGCAGGGTCAGATGGTAACTATGTTTGGCTTTTTGAGGAACTCCCAGACTGTTTTCCCAAGTGGCTATACTGTTTTGCATCCCTGCCAGCATATAAGTGTTCCAGTTTCTCCACACCCTCACCAACACTTGTTATTATCTGTCTTTTTGATTACAGCCTATGAAGCGGTATCTCTTTGTGGTTTTGGTTTGTATCTCCCTGATGGCTACTGATGTTTTGCATCTTTTCATGTGCTTATTGGCCGTTTTTATATCTTCTTTGGAGAAATGTCTATTCAAAGCCTTTGCTCTTTCTTATATTGGGTTATTTGCCTTTTATTGTTGAGGTATAAGAATTCTTTGTATATTGTATCTCTGTATATGCCAGAATTTTCTTCAATTCCGTGGATTGTCTTTTCACTTCTAGGTAGTATTGTTTGAAGGACAAAAGTTCAAGTCTAACTTATCTATATTTTATTTTATTGCATATGCTTCTGATTTCATATCTAAGAAATCATTGCCTAGTCTAAGGTTATGAAGTCTTACTATTATCTTTCCTTAAAAACTTCTATAATTTTTGCTCTTACTTTTAGGTATTTGGTCTATTTTGGGTTAATTTTTGTATATGGTATGAGGT